GTCCAACTCACCACCAGGTGGTGATCAGTTGACAGCTCCGCTCCTCTCTTCACTCGAGTGTCCAAAGCATATGGCTGCAGGTCAGATGATTTGACTACAAAGTCTATCATCGACCTGCGACCTAGGCTGCCCTGGTACCAAGTGTACCAATGGGCATCCTTGTGTTCGAACATGGTGTTCGTTATGGCCAAACTGCGGCTTGCACAGAAGTCCAATAATGAAACACCACTTGAGTTCAGATCAGGGATACGTGAGCATTGAAGTCCCCCAGCAGGACAATGGGGTCCTCTGATGGAGCACTATCTAGCACTCGTCCCAGGGACTCCAAAAAGGGTGGGTACTCTGAACTGATATTTGGCCCATGAGCACAAACAACAGTCAGGACCCGTTCCCCGACCCGAAGGTGCAGGGAAGCTACCCTCTCATCCCCAGGGGTAAACCCCAACACACAGGCAGAGTCTTGGGGCTAACAAAAAAAAAGCTAACCCCAGCTCTCCGCCTCTCACCCGGAGCAACTCCAGCAAAGTAGAGTGTTCAACCTCTCTCAAGGACTTGGGTTCCAGAGCCAATGCTATGTGTCGAGGTGAGTCCGACTATATCTAGCCGGTACTGCTCAACCTCTGCCACAAGCTCCTGCTCCTTCCCCGCCAGCGAGGTGACGTTCCATGTCCCAAAAACCAGTTTCCTTGTCCGGGGATTGGACCGCCAAGGCTCCCGCCTCGGTCTGCCACTCAATCAACACTGCACCAGACCCTTCATGTTCCTCCTGCAGGTGGTGGGTCCACAGTTGGATGAGCCCATGTATCCGGTTCGGGCTGGGCCCTGTCACGGTGCGGGCGGGGGGTTTGGACCCGAAGTGCAGAAAGCCAGAACACACAGGCAGGAGCGGTTGAAAAAAAATCAAATCCTTTATTTTAGAAAATAATCAAAATCCAAAGGAAGGGAGGCAAAAACCTAACCACTAAACCAAGACTAACTAAAAAAGCTCACTCACTGAGCAGAAAACCAGAGACTGGTACGGAGGTACAAAAAAAAAAACGCTGAAATAGACAATGGACAGACAAGACAGAGTGACAAGACAAGGTTTTTATAAACAGAGAGGAGCAATAAGGGAAACAGGCAGCAGGTGTGTGGAGTGAGGGCTGGAGGGAAAGCAGGTGAATACAATTATCTAAATGGGGAACAGAACCAGAGGAGGGCAGATAAACCTAAAACTATAAAACACAAAACTAAACCTAAAGACTGAGGGCCAAAAATAAACAACTAATAACTAGACAGATAAGGAGAACTAAATAAAGATTGATTAGGAATGGGGAATGATTAGAAAGACACCTGAGGGAAGTCTACAGAGGGCTGGGGATAATAATGGGACACGAGGAAAACCTGGAGTGGGAACTGGATGGGCTCGGGAACAAAGGGACACAGAACATGACAGGCCCGGCCGGGCCCCATGGGCGAAAGCCCGGCCACCAGGCGCTTACTCACGGGCCCCAACCCCAAGCCTGGCTCCAGAGTGGGACCCTGGTAACCCTCCGGGCCGGGTACTCAGACTCCTTGATAGTTCATTCATGAAAGATCTTCTGAACCGTTCTTTGTCTCACCCTTCACCTAAGACCAATTTGTCATGGGAGACCCTACCAGAGGCACAAAGTGCCCCAGACAACATAGCTCCTAGGATCATTAGGGCACTCAAACTCCTCCACCATGATAAGGTGACGGTTCAAGGAGGAGCTGAGTTTTGTAATAGTTGTAAACCTGAAATCCTCTTTTTAGGAAGACCAGAAAGCAGGGCATTGCAGTAGTCTATTCTACTGGTGATAAAAGCATGCATCAGCGTCTCGGTATTGGCCTGAGAGAGAATGGGGCGGACTCTGGCAATGTTCTTTAGACGATAGCAACCTATTTTGATGATAATTTTAATATGATGGATAAATGTCAGCTCAGAGTCAAAGATGACACCCAGGATCTTTACTTGTGAAGATGGATTAAGAGATAGTGATTGTAATTTTGGTAAAAGTGTCTCTCTCTGGGCCTCAGGACCGATAACTAAAACTTCAGTTTTGTCCTGGTTGAGCTGGAGAAAGTGACCTGCCATCCAGGATTTGATATTAAAAATTCAATTAAAAAGTGTGTCCATTGGCCGTGTGTCATCCAGAGACACTGAGATGTACAGCTGTGTATCATCAGCATAACTGTGGAAATTCACCCCGTGTCTCCTGATGACACTGCCAAGAGGGAACATATAAAGGTTAAAAAGCACTGGGCCTAAAATTGAACCCTGGGGCACAGCACATGTAATCCCATGAACCCTAGAGGAACAGGTATCCAAACTCAGCATAAAAGTCCTGTCTGTGAGGTAGGATGTGAACCACTGGTGAGCAGCACCAGAGAGGCCGATCCGTTTCAAACGAGTTAAAAGAATAGTTTGGTCTACTGCATCAAAGGCAGCCCTTAGATCCAGTAGAACCAACACAGTCACCTTCCGTTTGTCATAATTTACTCTAAAATAATTTAAAATCTTCAGAAGGGCTGTCTCTGTGCTGTGGTTTACCCTAAAACCAGACTGATTTTTTTCAAAAACATTATGGGTGTTGATAAAATCATTGAGTTGGATTAAAACAAGCTTTTCTAAAATTTTGCTTAAAAATGGTAAGTTGGATACCGGTTGATAATTGTTTAAATCGTTAAAATCTAAATTGCTCTTCTTCTGCAGGGGCCTCACCACCACCCGTTTAAAAGCGGCAGGAAAGACCCCCGTCTGAAGGGAGCAATTCATCATAGTTAAACCTCATCTTTAAAAGAATCATAAAATTGTTTTAAAAATCTAGTGGGAATAGGGTCCAGGACACATGTTGTGGGTCTCACTGAGGAGAAAACTTTATCAAGAGTCTCAGCTTCAACCAGGACAAAACTGTACCGTGTTTCCTCAGGTAGACACACACTCTCACTCTCTCTTAACCATTGTTAGATGAAAAACTATACAATATACAATCAAATCTGATCAGCAGTGTGATTATTTCAGCAAAACCAACAATCCTATCCCAGAGAGAGAAGCAGAAGAAAAATCTTCAAGTCTTAGACTTCATCATCATGGCTAACCATCTTGTTCCTGTAGAGGACTGTTGTGTGTGCAAATAGTGTGCTGTGCACACCAGATACTAGTATTAATCATGCAAAATATTTGACCAAGGCTTATTGCTGTCTCTGGCATAGTTTTCTATTAGAAGCCCCCTCTGCCCCCACCCACCGAGAGAACAGGAAAACAACCAAACATCCACATCAATGTGCTGCCTTACTGAACCAGGCCAACTCATGTGCACAAAGATGTATTCATCGCAGCATCAATATGTATCAAGTCAAATAGAAACAAGCTATTTAACTGTACAGGTGCTGGCCAGTAAATTAGAATATCATCAAAAGTTTGAAAATATTTCAGTAATTCCATTCAAAACGTGAAACTTGTACATTATATTCATGCAATGCACACAGACCAATGTATTTCCAATGTTCATTACATTTAAATTTGATATTCATAAGTGACAACTAATGAAAACTCCAAATTTGGTATCTCAAAAAATTAGAATATTCTGAAAAGGCTGAATATAGAAGACACCTGCTGCCACTCTAATCAGCTGATTTACTCAAAACACCTGCAAAGGCCTTTAAAAGGTCCCTCAGTCTTGTTTTGAAGGCACCACAATCATGGGGAAGACTTCTGACTTAACAGCTGTCCAAAAGACAATCATTGACACCTTGCACAAGGAGGGCAAGACACAAAAGGTGATTGCTAAAGAAGCTGGCTGTTCGCAGAGCTCTGTGTCCAAGCACATTAACAGACAGGCGAAGGGACGGAAAAAATGTGGTAGAAAAAAGTGTACAAGCTCTAGGGATAACCGCACCCTGCAGAGAATTGTGACGACAAACCCATTCAAAAATGTGGGGGAGATCCACAAAGAGTGGACTGCAGCTGGAGTCAGCGCTTCAAGAACCACCACGAGGAGACTCATGAAAGACATGGGATTCAGGTGTCGCATTCCGTGTGTCAAGCCACTCTTGAACAAGAAACAGCGCAAGAAGCGTCTCGCCTGGGCCAAGGACAAAAAGGACTGGACTGATGCTGAGTGGTCCAAAGTTATGTTTTCTGATGAAAGCAAGTTCTGCATTTCCTTTGGAAATCAAGGACCCAGAGTCTGGAGGAAGAGCGGAGAAGCACAGAATCCACGTTGCATGAGGTCCAGTGTAAAGTTTCCACCGTCAGTGATGGTGTGGGGTGCCATGTCATCTGCCGGTGTTGGCCCACTCTGTTTCCTGAGGTCCAGGGTCAATGCAGCCGTCTACCAGGAAGTTTTAGAGCACTTCATGCTTCCTGCTGCTGACCAACTTTATGGGGATGCAGACTTCACCTTTCAACAGGACTTGGCACCTGCACACAGTGCCAAAACCACCAGCACCTGGTTCAAGGACCATGGTATCCCTGTCCTTGATTGGCCAGCAAACTCGCCTGACCTTAACCCCATAGAAAATCTATGGGGTATTGTGAAGCGGAGGATGCAATACGCTAGACCCAACAATGCAGAGGAGCTGAAGACGACTATCAGAGCAACCTGGGCTCTCATAACACCTGAGCAGTGCCACAGACTGATCGAGTCCATGCCACGCCGCATTACTGCAGTTATTGAGGCAAAAGGAGCCCCGACTAAGTATTGAGTGCTATACATGCACATTCTTTTCATGTTCATTCTTTTCAGTTGGCCAACATTAGAGAAACAAACATTTTTTCATTGGCCTTTAGAATATTCTAATTTTCTGAGATACCAGATTTGATTTTTTCATTGGTTGTCACCTATAAATATCAAAATTAAACGTAATAAACATCGGAAATACATTGGTCTGTGTGCATTGCATGAATATAATGTACAAGTTTCACGTTTTGAATGGAATTACTGAAATATTCTCAACCTTTTGATGATATTCTAATTTACTGGCCAGCACCTGTATTCTAAAGAGGATGCATTTATTCAAAGCCAAAATTAAGAATTTTTTTATGTAATATAACAAAAAATCTGTTAGACTGATCTTTTATATTCACAAATGGAACTATTGTGAAAATTTATTATAGTCTTTAACATTACAGTCAGTGAGGCGTAATTGGAAATTTTTTTTGCTGATGCGTATATTTGTCTTAGTCCACACCAGAAAATGTCTCTTCCAATGTAAGGAGAAATCAATAATATGTTAGTGTGTTTTCACATGATATGCTTCCATTTATTGGTGCAGATTCACCGTACTGAACTCCAAATGCCATACCGCCTTCGTGTTGAATGCTCAAGCTTGACTACTCAGAGGCAGACCTCTGACAGCTAATCAGATGCCAGGTTGAGACAGCCTTGTCAGTGAGCTAATAGAGTGTTCTGAGGTTAATTTACAACCATATGAATTCCATCAATAAGCAATTAAGAGATGTGGAAACACAGAGGCACCAAGGCCAATGCAGCTAAATCCCCATGCAACCCCCCACTTACTTTTAATCAATTAATTGCTATAGCATGTCTGTTTAAAAGAATTTGATAGATTTGCAGATACATTTTGCACTTTAACAAAGCACTGTTCTCCCGTGCGGCCAGTTTATATGACCAAATCGTTTTTAAAGCTTGAAGTTTTGATGATGTGCCATTCTCACTTCACGGCTTTTTTAATACAGTGGCTTACACAAAACCTTTTGGCTGATTAAAGAGGGAGATAATGTGTTAATAATGTCTACAGCTGGGAGAAAAAAAAACCTGAGAAAAAAATGTAGAAATTTAGAGCATGTGAATGATTGTGTCATCATCTGAGAAGTGCCTTGGACAGTCAGTAGTCTTCATCAATGTTTGTGTAGCTGGCCATTATTTACTCCAGTGCTATCAGTTGAAACTTGTTTTCTAGTATTTTGTTTCAAACCACAGCAGTTCAAGCTCACATTGAAGCTGCTGTAGAAGAACCAGAGCACAGCATGCTCAGCAGCACAGATGTGGGGGATTTTCATTCATCACCCTTTCACTCCCCTTCTTTCTGTTCTCTTCTCTAATGCTGTGAAGTGTTGATTATGTTTTTTACCGTTTGCACCACATATTTGACATATTTGCTAGGATCCCTGGAAAGATTCAGTACACTCGGTACAATCATCAGTAACGCGGTAATTACAATGCATTCTTAAACCCAGAATCAAGATGTGGGTTTCCTAAAAATTCAAATTGCGAGAAGCCTGAAAAAAGATCCAGCATCCACATATATTACGTCATTTATGGACTCAGCTTTGCGGGCATTCTATGAGCAGAGAGGATGCAGCGGTAATGACTCAAATACTCCAGCTGTGTCCTGCGCGCGGCCGATGTTATATTCACAAAATCGCTCCACCAAAACTAAGTAATTCATTTGCGATCGTTCATATCAGCCCATATTCTCTGGTACTTCACGTACTTTTCAGCTGAGTTCATAATCTGTGCCCCGGTGATTTCAACTCATTGCTGCTGGAGTGCAGTGCCTATTGAGCTTTTTTTTTTTTTTTTGCGTTCAGTAGATCCCTTTGGCTGATTAGTTAGAAAGTAGGAAGTCTAGGAATCAGTTTTTCTGGAAGACGGAGAAAACATGCAGCATGCAGGAAGGTTAGAGAGAGAAAGGGCAGGAAATTATTCAAATAAAATCAAGAAAAAAAAACTATGTGCTTGAAAAGAAAAAAAAGTAGGTAGATTTTAGGGATGCACCGATGGATCGGCATTTGATCGTAATCGGCCGATAGCGCCCCTATCGGTTTTGATCGGAATTTTCAAAATAGATCAAAGCAAACCGATCAGGTAGGGTTGTCACGGTAACCAGTGTAGCGCTAAACCCCGGTAAAAAAACAAAGTTGACAATAATAACCGTCTTGTTTTTAAAAAAACTATATTATCTTGGTGGGTTTACCGTGGCTGCGGTGTAGGCGCGGTGACCCTTACCAGCCACCGTATCATCTGCTGAAGTTGCCGGCGGTACATGCACGCTTTGCTGTTTACAACTAGAGCTGAAACAACTAATCGATTTAATCGATTATAATCGATTATTAAAATAGTTAACAACTTTTTTAGTCATCGATTAGTTGTTTAATAATCATATTTTACCGCATAAAGTCTATTTTTTACCACAATCTGACATCGGTTACAATCTGTTAAATTTGCCGCCAGTGTGTGGCAGTAATGAGCCACTGATCTACCAGTGGGGCCGTAGAAGAAGAAATTAGCCAATAAGTGCCCTCGATTTTCATGACGTATCACGTTACTGACGCGCATCTTGCTGTGAGAGATGGCGGATCAACAACAAATACGGAAGAAAAATAGAAGCGACAAAACAAGAAAAACCCCGGACAAAAACCTCACGAGTATGGGAGCACTTCACTAGATGCCTTGAAAAGACCGGTGACCTACAAAATATGCAAAAACCATGGCACGACGGAAGCACGACGTCCCTAAGTGAACATTTGAGACGAAAACGTGGGGGCTGATGCAGCAGAGGAATGTCCGGTAAGTAACAGAAAATAAACAAGCTAACGCAGATCACATTTGGGACTTAGTGTTAGCTGAGTTCGTTATAGTGGATGTTAAACATGTTTTTTTTTTTTTGCCGCGTCAGTTTACGGTGTTCTACTTCTGATTGACTAGATGCAATCGTGAATCTCCTCCGTGTTGTGAATCATGCGCTTGCCAAATTTAGCACGTCTGTTTATAAGAATGTTCTCGTTAAGAGAAAAACAGCACAAACCCATAACTATGTTCCTCATTCAAAAAAGGACAACTCCGCGGAGAAAAATATACAGACGAGCTGTGTCCAGGTGAATATAACGCGGCATAGTTGTACGCTTTCAATTTTTAAATACAGGAGAAATTCAGAAAGTCCTTTTTTTTTACTATTAAAAGGCTGTTTTACTATCTAACGCTGTAAAACGCCTCACAACACATTTTTGTCAAAATAAATGATCACTGTATTGTTAATTAATTCAAATAATGTAATATTGATTTAGTGTTGTAGTGTGTGTGCTGCTTTATTTTATATGTGTACTTAATTCAGTTTATTTGTGTTTCTTATGCAGAAAAAAACAAGCAACGATGGACAACTACATGGGGAACAAGACACTCACCCCCAGCAATGCATACCACTTACAAACTCTATTCCAGATTCTACATTATTTTTTATGGAATTTACCTCTTATATTTTGATGCCAAAAAATTATTCTGGACTGATATTTTGCACTGTTTAGCTCATTTTACACTGCTGACTGTGGTCATGTGCAATAAAATAGATTGCAGTCAACTGCACAATTCTCTTATGTTTTTCTTTTTCTTAACTGAAATGTATTCATCACTTGTATAGGTTAAATAGCTAAACAATAACAAACCGATTAATCGATTAATCGAAAAAATAATCGACAGATTAATCGATTATGAAAATAATCGTTAGTTGCAGCCCTATTTACAACCAAAACTTTCTTGAAGCTAAAGCTGAAATAATGGTCAAAGGAGGAGACGGCAACACTCAGGAGGACATTTATTATCCCTCAAAGAAGACAAAGTCGGAAGTACGGGCATATTTTAGATATTTGAAGAATGCCGAGGGAGTTTATAGAAGACGGGCGGCTATCCTGTTTGCAGCACGTGCAGAAAAAGTGTCTGTGAAAGGCAGTAACGCTTCAAATCTCATGACACATCTGCGTGACCATCACCCACAACTCTACAGTCAACGCAAGGCAAGTTAACGTTAGCGTTTTAGCTAAAATGCGTGATCCGAGGATTTGGGTTGAGGGAGAATGCAACGAGTCGCTATATAAAGCAGCCGCAGCGCCGCTACCTGCATATAAACCGTGTCGCGGACACGGCCATGTTGAAATGACGCTATGCATTACGAGGCTCCCAGGGGCAGATAAGAGTTGGTCTCTCTCCGAGGATAATTATGAATTTAACAATGATTACTGCCTGATGACATTTTCCCACATCTGCAAAGCTCACTGGAAGGACACAAACCGAGGACAATATTTTCCTGAAATACGGATTGCTCAAGTAAGGGTAAAAAAAAAGTATCTGATTAGAAGGCTACTTGAGTACTGAGTATCATCTGATCTATTTTTAAATGATGACATCAAACAGACATAAAATACGAAGTTATGGGCAAATATTGGTATTTTAAAGACTAAAGTGGAAAAATGTAAACAAATAAACAACATAATTACAAAATAACACATTTTAGGCAAAATTTAGACACAAACTGAGGACAATATTTTCCTGATATACAGTGTTTATTTAATTGTGTGAAAATGTAGCACGTTTAAAAAAAATACCGCGATAATACCGAAAACCGTGGTAATTTTGGTCACAATAACCATGAGGTTAAATTTTCACACCGTGACAACCCTAATACAGACCATTTTAGATTAGGTTACATTTCCTTTATTCCCAGATTATGTAGTTTGTAGCACTCATTATAATGTTGTAGAAAATTTCTGGACAATCCACGTGATCGGTATCGGTGATCAGCATTCTTTGATATCGGTATCGGTGATCGGCAGCAAAAAACCTGATCGGTGCATCCCTAGTAGATTTATCCCCAATACACATTTGTACCAGTGAAAAGCAATAATATATCAGCTATTAATATTTATACATGTGACAGAATCAGATCACCCCAGAAGTCAGTCCCACATCCAGGGTCGTATCAAGTCATTTGGGGACCAAGGCAAATATAGGCTTGGAGCCCCCACCACCTCACTCCCTGCTCAGTTAATATAAGACGGCAGCGTGCTGAGAGTACAGTTTGCTGTTGCTTTTATTTAATAAACAATCATTTTAAAGCACTGTTGTTATATCTGACTGTTTTTAACAGCAATCCTAGCTCAGACACCACATCACGTTCCACATATATGTCATGAGCTCACTGAGAGTCAGATTACCAGATTCATATTGAAGTTGTTTTGGTGAAAGTAACTTAAAGTAATGCAAAAGTTGTGTAATGCCTTACATTTTAAAATCAGTAATATTGTAATGTAATGAATTACTTTAAAACGAGGGTAACAAGTAATAAATAATGCATTACAGTTTTGAAGTAACTTGCCCAACACTGCCTATACATAATGGCCAAACCAAATCAGTTTCCATTCTGAACCCAGAATCTCTCAGCAGCTTGTCACTTCCTTTAAAAAACAATTACAAAAGAAAGATGGAGCAGGTTTTTGCATTTGTTTTAGTCTTCCTCTGCTCTTTCTTTCCTTTCTCTGTCTAGATCTCACTCTGCTGTCAGCAGTTCCCACCTACATGTATAACTCTAAGATGACATTTCATACAAAAAAAACTGCTGAGATGCTTTCAAGAGAGAAAACTGATGTTTTCTGACAGTTAAGGGGTGTTTAAGGTTGCATTTGGTGATTTTTCAATCCGTAAAAATATTGTCTAACAAAGCGTTCACTCTGTCCTCCACAGCACCTCCAAACAACATATCAGTGATGGCAGAGAACACTCCAGCACCCTTCAGCCGATACCAAGCCCAGAATTTTACTCTTGTGTGCACAGCAAAAGGAGGGAAACCAGCCCCGTCTGTAAGTTTAAGACACACAACGCTGACCATTCACAGCGATCTACATAGGTATTTAAAATAATTTTAAATGCTTTTTCTTCATTTTGATTAAAGACCACACATCAGTTGGAAAAAATAAAGCTATTTTGATGATTCCATAAAAAGAAAATATTGTCATCCCAGTTTTGGCTTGAGGTTCAGTTCACAAGAAACACAGTAAAAAAGTATACACACACACGAATGAGCAGTATTGAAAATCATTACTAATGTAGGATAGTAACGCACGCATGAGTCCAGAAATTGTCAAGCTGAAGCAAACCTGTTCAACAAAGATCAAAGCAAAAGCAAACCAAGGAACTGGTGACAAATGAGCAACAAATGAGTGGCAATCAAAGAAATACCCAGATTAGAGGCAAGGGCGAAAACCAACACAAACGAATTGGACTGGCAAGGAGAATAATGCAAACATGAAAAAGAAACCCACAGAGACCTCGAACCAAAACAAGCCCATATTGTACAGAACTTCTAGACCATGACAAGCTTTTGATCTCAGAGCTTTTTAGTAAACAATTCCATCAGATGTTCTGAACAATTCCTGATGTCATTACAAATAGACTTCTCTTTGATTACTGATGAGGTCCGAAATGTATTGAAAACCAGAAAAACATCCTAGGTGGTTGCTGATAGCCTTCTAAAGGATTGCTGAAATAATCTAGAGTTGAAATAAATTAAATATAAACTACAAATTAAAATCAAATCCTGCTTTTGAAGATCATTTCTGACCAGCTTGATATTTCTGTGACAACAGTTGGACACAGCATTCAGATACTTAAGGTCTACTGGAACATTGAATAAGGCCGAACCATTCTGGAAAGTAATTGTAGGGTTTGGGAAATTGAGTGCTTTAGGGGCTCAATATATATTACCTCTACTTACACCAATAAGCTGTGATACTCTATCAACCCTGCTTAGTCTCCGTGTGTTTATCAGAAGATTCAAGGATTCTTTATTTATTAGGGGATTGTACACACCATTTTTATTCAGAAAAGAGTCAGGTGTATAAAGGTAAGAATTTATTTTACAAACAATTAAAAACATGACAGGTTAACTAACATTTACTGTGATGGATGGAACTAGATGTGATGTATGAACCTATGTGTGAATGTGATGTTATCAGAACTTTAATATCTAGGAGAGCTGAGTTCTGGATGTAAAAGAATTTGGTATGCGTTAAGCTATGAAGTTGATTATTATCAAAAGCACATCAGACGCTATCTGTGTGTCTACTTCACCTGTTTTTGGAGACCCTCTTTGTTGATCCAAAGGTCAGAGAGGTCGGATGACCTCTGGCACCGAAGGGCTGTAGAATACAGTGGCACTGACTCTTCAGTCCAGAGATGTCTCGGGTCGCGACAGATGGATGGAACCGCGTGTCTGGGACTCTTAAGGAGTCTAAACAATATCAGCTTGTTCTGCAGGAACTGTTGCTTTATCAGCTTTGCAGGTGCAAAAAGGTTTTGACGACGTGTCAAAGCTTTGATGGTTAAACAGGGTTTTCCTTCAGATGGCCAGTCTGAAGATTTCTCTAGAACTGATGAATCACCAGAGTGATCCAGTTTTAATGTTCCCATGTTATGATTTGTGTAGCCAACCAGAGTTTGAGGAACATTGCCAAGAATCTCAGAAACCCGCCTTTTTTGATCCGGAGGCTCTGATCTGGGGTAAATGAGTCATGAGTTTAACTTTACCTTACTTTGTTCTTGTGTGAGTGCAAATGGTGATGACCTTGTCATATAAACATGCTGAAACATATTTCAATCACTGTCATCATAACATAAGATTCATTTCAAACTTCAATCACTGAGCACAGATTAATGAAACATTTCATTATATTACAATTATTATAAATAGCAGTAAACAAACATTTATTTAATGATTATCTAGCTTATAAGTTTTAGAAGTTCATATTTAATTTAGGAGTTCATTCTTTGATTTAGCAACTGATCAGAGCTACGAGTGTTAGGCATGAAGAATCCTGTAGGACAATAAGGATGGACCTTGAGGAGAGAACATTATTGTTGACTTGTCGTTATCTGTGTTCAGAGCTCCAGAAAGGCTCTGAGCTCCAGCTGCTGGAATGAAGGCAGGCCAATTTAAAGGGAACACATGCAGTCTCGTGTTTCCTTTTTGACCTGAGGTTGAATGGTCAAACTGTACCTAAAAACTGACCATTGCTGGACATTACATAATTGTGATTTTTTTTTTCAATATTGCAATTACGATTTAGTTCAGGATTCTTTTCTCAAGGGAGTTTTCTCATATTTTTCTACTAACAGAAGCAAAAAAAATCTATGTAACTTCGACTGAATATATACAAGTTTATGTATCTACATATATCAACAAGTTAATTTGTCTACATATACATAAACACTCACAAGTAAAGTAACTTTTTTGTATTTGAAGGTGTAATGCTTTGCAGCCAGGAACAAATCCCTTGAAGGAGCATAGATGTTAGCATCAACTGTGAAAATGTATTTGCAGGAAAGAACTGTGTCCCATTTATTTATTGTGTTTAGAGTTTTTGACGTCTTGTCCATGCCAAGCTTCCGTAGTTCAGTTACATCCATAGCTGCTAGCCAAAACTCAGTTTAGTTAAAAGTCTCTATCGATTTTCTAGCTTTACTAAAATATCTGTCCATGCTTATTTGATTAATGGCAGTTTTTACTTTTTTTAGACTCCAAATGTAATCATTTGGCACGTTCCTAATTCATAATTTGTAAGAAGCAAACACTTAGCATCTCCTGCAAGCCAGCACTGCTAGGGCTGAAGGTAACAAGGTCATTAGCATTAAATAGATGATTCACACAAACACTGGCAATCATGCATCCTGTATGACACCCTGACAACTGCCTTGACAGATCATCCAAATACAAGTTGAAGAGCACTGGTGACATAGTTGGGTATCTATTTTTTTCTGTGTGAGTGTGAATGGACAAATGTTTTAATATGTTGTGAAGCACCTTGGGGGGCTGTAGAACCCTAGAAGGCACTATACAAATGTAAGCTGTTTATCATTTACTACTGGTTCAATGTAGGGCTGCAACTAACGATTATTTTCATAATCGATTAATCTGTCGATTATTTTTTCGATTAATCAGTTTGTTATTGTTTAGCTATTTAACACTATACAAGTGATGACTACATTTCAGTTAAGAAAAAAGAAAAACAAGAGAATTGTGCAGTTGACTGCAATCTATTTAATTGCACATGAACACAGTCAGCAGTGTAAAATGAGCTAAACAGTGCAAAATATCAGTCCAGAATAATTTTTTGGCATCAAAATATAAGAGGTAAATTCCATAAAAAATAATGTAGAATCTAGAATAGAGTTTGTAAGTGGTATGCATTGCTGGGGGGTGAGTGTCTTGTTCCCCATGTAGTTGTCCATCGTTGCTTGTTTTTTTCTGCATAAAAAAACACAAATAGACTGAAATAAGTACACATATAAAATAAAGCAGCACACACACTACAACACTAAATCAATATTACATTATTTGAATTAATTAACAATATACAGTGATCATTTATTTTGACAAAAATGTGTTGTGAGGCGTTTTACAGCGTTAGACAGTAAAACAGCCTTTTAATAGTAAAAAAAATGACTTTCTGAATTTCTCCTGTATTTAAAAATTGAAAACGTACAACTTTGCCGCGTTATATTCACCTGGACACAGCTCGTCTATATATTTTTCTCCGCGGAGTTGTCCTTTTTTGAATGAGGAACATAGTTATGGGTTTGTGCCGTTTTTCTCTTAACGAGAACATTTTTATAAACAGACGTGCTAAATTTGGCAAGCGCATGATTCACAACACGGAGGAGATTCACGATTGCATCTAGTCAATCAGAAGTAGAACACTGTAGACTGACGTGGCAAAAAAAACATGTTTAACATCCACTATAACGAACTCAGCTCCCAAATTTGATCTGCGTTAGCTTGTTTATTTTCTGTTACTTACCGGATTTACCGGACTTTCCTCTGCTGCATCAGCCCCACATGTTTTCGTCTCAAATGTTCACTTAGGGACGTTGTGCTTCTGTGCCATGCTAGATGGTTTTTGCATATTTTGCAGGTCACTTGTCTTTTCATGGCATTTAGAGTGAAGTGCTCCCATACTCGTGAGGTTTATGTCCGGGGTTTCTCTTCAGTTTTGTCGCTTCTATTTTTCTTCCGTATTTCTTCTTGTTCTGCCATCTCTCACAGCAAGATGCGCGTCAGTAACGTGTTACGTCGTGAAAACCGAGGGCACTTATTGGCTCATTTCTTCTTCTACGGCTCCACTGGTAGATCAGTGGCTCATTACTGCCACACACTGGCGGCAAATTTAACAGATTGTAACCGATGTCAGATTGTGGTAAAAAATAGACTTTATGCGGTAAAATAGGATTATGAAACAACTAATCGATGACTAAAAAAGTTGTTAACTATTTTAATAATCGATTATAATCGATTAAATCGATTAGTTGTTTCAGCTCTAGTTCAATGGAAAATGGATGAATGATTGGTGTGTTGAAAAGTGGCTTTGGAGATTCTTGGACTCTGGAAGTTGCTATATAAAAACAGGCCTTTTAACATTTATTTTACTTCACAAAGAGGTTTGAATAATTGTATCAATGTTTGTACATCAGGGACTCACCACTGCATACATTCAGCTAAACACTTTTTGGTCACCTTTTCTAGACCAAGACAGGTTTCAGTAAAAATGCTCAGATGTTTGGTGGCACACCTGAGCTGACTTGAGAGCATTCACTTGCTGTTAGATCTCAACGGACCATCAATGATCATCCATGGGTGTAAGCTAATAGACTCCAGACCCTGAGCACACACATCTTCTGCAATTATAAGCCCAGTGAGAGGTGAACACTAGGTGAAAATGATTTCCGGTACTTCCTAGTTGATGGTGTGATGAGTGAGGTTTTTCCCTGTTGTGATTTCACATAAAGCCTTCAGCCATTAAACCCC